ATGCAACCATTTGATGATTATTTGTTATAATTAATGCTTACACCACAGGAGATATTTAAACAAATATCAAAAGGAATAAAAAAAAAATTATGGAAATCCTTCTAAAGGTTGCCATGATTTCCTCACACTCTTAACTGTTTATATTAATTGAATGAACATTATTTGACTGGAATATCATGCTGTGGTGGGGCACTTTATTATTTTTAAAATGAATTTGATATAAAGTTATAAAGATTAATTTGATTCTATATAATATTTCTTTTTTCAACAATTATTTTTCAGAGTAGCATGACAAATAATTGCAATTTCTTTTTTTAATGAAATTAAAAAAAACAAACTGTTACAGGTTACAGTGTATTAGTATTGATGTTTTATTTGGTTGCACCTTAGATTCATAAATTGAAAAAAATTAATGAGCATGCAATTATATTTTCACCCGATTTTTTTTTAAAGACAATAGTGAACACCTCGTAATAGATCCATAAAACATTTGTGAATTGGCACCTAGCTACTCTGAAAAAACACAGCGGGGGTATTTGTCCCTATTGGACAGTTCTAGTTTTATATGAAAAAGACATAAACTAGTGCTAATTGTAACGGGAACCGTTACAGATGTTCCCCAAACGCTTCCCAACTTCATTTTGGTGCCTCATTCCCTCTAAGCTTCATCAAATAAACTAAACTCTATGCATCTTAAACTTAAACAACGTTTTTCATTAAGTATACCAAGTATATAGCAAATTTTTGCATTGCACGTGCGCACACTTGCACGCATATGCGGAATGACCATATCATTGTATCTACACTATTAATTTATTTTTATGTACTTAATATCAAGGTATTTAAACAAAAAGTATTTGAAAATACGCTAAATCAAGTGCATTTGTAATTATACGCATTGCACGTGCTCGCACGTGCATGCATGTGCATGATGACCATCCTTCTTGTAGGGGTCCATTAAGAATATCTATGTTCTAAATCCCGTCCTGTTTGGCTGAAAATCAAGGGAGTTATAGCCATTTAAAGTTTTAGCCAATCAGATTGCAGCGCACGTGCATGCGCGTGGTTTCATGAAAATTATTTTATATCATATCGTAGGATATCTTAATGCATTACTATGTTTTAAGTTTCAAAGTATTTCGTCAAATAACGAATAAGATATTGAGATTTTTGTTTCAGCCAATCAGAGCGAAGCGCACGTGCATGCGCGTGAGTTCATGATAATTTGACATTGTCCTCTTGTCTATAATACTAATATATTCTTATATTCTGAGTTTCAACACATTTCATCAAAAAATAGAAAAGTTACGGCTATATCAATTATATTGGTCATTTTACATGTTGCACGTGCGCGCTCTTGCAAGCACGTGCGCGCAAAATGACCTTGATTCCGCAAATCTACATAACATGTCTACTTATCCTAAAAATGTTTTACCTACATTAGATGAACAGTTTACAAGATCATTCGCGGACAAATAAGTACCCAGGAAGAAGAAAAATAATAATAAGAAACAGAGTAAAAACAATATGTTCCCAAACTTCGTTTGGGGAACATAATAAGAAAGTTCAACAAATGAAGACAGCACTGAAAATAAATGAAGTAATTGATACATTTATCAGTTGCATGCAAGTGTGAAATGTCCTCTATGAGGAAGCTAGGATATTCGGTACATGTATATACATTTCTTAATGTTCTTTCTAGAGTTGCATGTGTAAAGGCTGCGTTACTTCCATGTACATTCAATTTGATAACCACGACTCCATGATTGACATTAAAAATACTGGAACTCTTATGAAACATTGATTCTTATACAATTAAATAAAATACCCCCAACCCTTGTACATTATAATAGTAGATGCTAATATCTTTAAATCAATTAAATGTTATGTGTGTGTTAAGCTCCCTATAGCAGTTTTTTTCCAACTCTTGGCACCTGCTGGTTAGTGCCAAATGAAATGTCTTTTTTTGAATACCAAGAAATTGAAGGGGAAATCAAAGTACTCAGAAGTACAGACAGCCGGGCTCATTTACCGAGTGAAATGAATTTCTTACGTCATGAATCATACCTTTATATTGTATTAACAGATAAATAACAAGAATATCAGATTAAAAATTCTAATGAAGAAATTATTTTAAAACTAGCAATATAAATTATAAGACACTGACTGTGAGTTTTCGATCCAAATACCACGGTCTGATTTAGTCAGAATCAAAATTAATCTGGTACTACGGCTGAATGTAAACAAACAGGCCAGTCTGGTTCCCTCTCCTGTTTTTCCTCGTTAGTGTAGAGACTACGATAACACTGATTATCAGAAATCCTTACGCTAATAAACTATGTTCTTTGACTTTAGACTGAAGTTTTCAAAGTCATTACTACTAATGTTTATTTATTTAGATAAAACTTCGTTTTATTTATGTTGCTTTATTTAGCGTTTGTATTATCTCAGAAGCAGTTGAGAGTAAGAACTATATTTTTACATGTAATTTTAAAATGGCGACTATAGGGTTGACATCCTGTCTTGAACAGGATGACATAAGCCGGCAAATGCTCTTAGAGCAATAAGCCTAGCTAAAGATACATTCAGCAGCTGAAAGGGTGTGTGTATCGAGTTGTGTTGTGTATTTGGAGAGGGTGGGGTGGGAGTTCTTGAGAGATCTGTATTAAGAAATTATTTATCTTAGTGATATAGCTGTTTATTTTTTAAAAATCATCTTAAAACATTAAATCTTTGTACACTTATTGGAAAATATTTAGTTTTATTGGTTTTATTCTATAGCATACTCGCAATAGACTTTGTCTGTGAACTTTTGGTTGTTTGTTAAACTTAAGGTTACATAGTTATGTCACATATGATACTATAAAAAAAGAGGCAAGAGTTCAGAAAATATTGATAAGTTAAACAAGACACTGTTTACTTTAATAAAAATTATTATTTTTTTATTTTTTAGCTCAGGAAAACTACCAAAAATCTTAGGAGATTTAGAGTACTGTAAACGTATTTTTTTCCACAGGGTCATAATTCCGCGGAATCTCAATTTCTAGTTAATCCGTGTGTAGAAAAGTACGCTGATTTCCTAGACTGTCACTATATGCCTTACATTTGTATTAAGTATGCTTGGACATATTTCCGCGGAAAATTTGTGTCTTCGTACATAGCGTAAATTAATACCACGCGGAAAAAAGTACTTCTACAGTATTTAAAACTTCTATGAAAAAGTGTGCACATGGTGGGAAGTTACTCTCAATTATTGCAATAAAACATATTCATGACACAATTGCTTTATATTACATATTATAGTATTATAGTAAGACAAATTAATTTCCCCAATCAAGTTAGAAAAACAACACTGCATACCATGGCACAAATTATTTTACATTTATTACAGTTGATTTTTTTCTGAAAGACTAGTACAAGTATTAATTTGCCTATATTTAAAAGGAATGCATGTTGTAAACTAAGTTGGGAAAGAGAAAATAAGTATTAGATATAGATCTCAAACTGTGGAATATCTCCAGTTATAGTTGGTACTCAGCTGAATTTCCTTCTCAGAAATAGAATATGGGCCGGGATAGCGTCTTTGTGATACGTACATGAAACTTTTTTTTCATTACATTTCAAGTGTTACTTGAAAGTCAGCTGTGTTAGACAGAATTATTATACTGAATATGATATTAAAAACAAATTTGACCTTCGATCAGTTCAACTTGGTAGGTGTGGATATTTTCCAAACAGTTATTCATTACAAGTGTTCTTTAATAGAAATCATGTGAATGTCAAGCAGGCATGATATCATACAGCAATTAGATTTCATCATGCATAATAAAAAATAAGAGGCAGTAGGGCTGGAAGGAAACACTGAATTTTAAAGATGGCATTTTCAACAGGTACTTTTTATGGTTTTTTTTTAGAAGGTTAGAGAGGTTTAGATTTATAAACTGCGTGATTTGAATAAACTAGAGAATGCAACAAATGCAGAATTACAATATATATAAAATACATGGTCGCTTATATTTAAAGACAGTTATCATGTATTTTGTTTATCCTGCAACATATTTTTTACATTTGAACGTCCAAAACTAGCTATTTTGGACAGATTTAGGCACATCTCTGCAGTTGAAACTATGACGCCATGGCATAAACATTGCAATATACATGACGTCACAATGCTTTAGAACGTCAGAATACATGCACGAGGCTTTATTAGGGCAGTGACCGGATAAAGCTTTGGTTTATTAGGTTACCTTTATTAGGTCAATGCAAGGGGTAGTTGCAGGATAAACAGTATTTATCCTGCATACTTGCTCAATTAATTGTCTCTGATAAGTGGGAGCTGAAGGCACGTACTTGATGTGTTTGTAAACATAAAATAAAATCATTTTTTCTTCAGCATTTTTACAATAAAAATGCTGTAGTTCTTGAAGTTTTAAAGGTTAATCAGATTAGATGTATTAATCTAAGATTGTTTAATCATTAAGTTTTCATTTGCTTTGTTAAGTATTGACATTTCATTTCAATCTAGGGACCAGAACAGCTTCTGTCTATTCTGTTATTAGGAGTGTTCTACTTAGTATAAGCATGCAGGCTCTGACTCTGTATTGTCTTCAGCTGATTATGGTCTGTTCAATGGAAAAGGTTGTAATAAACTGCTTTTTCATGAGAATATTTGAATCTTAATTATATTTCACAATAGATCTGCTTGGTTTCATGTTTTTTGTTTGTTTTTTTTATACATTTATGACTTTTAAAATATCTTGGAATATATCAAACTCAAATGATTATATTGAATGCAGCTCAAATATATATGATTTAAAAAAGTCTGCTTACAAAAGAAAAATCAAAATAATTAAAATACTTTAAATAAATAAATAAACATTTTGTAAAACCTTTAAATAATTAAATGAAGAAAATATTGGTTCATTAAATTGCTACTTGTTGCTAGACTGATCTTTTATGTTAATTTCCCCATTGGCATCAAACTATTGATTTGTTAGCATGATCAACAATTCAAGATGGCAGAGGAAACTATTTATCTGTGTAACTTTCGAGTTTCCGTTGATGGGGACTGGTTATGTTTGAAAGAACTCAGTGATGTGCAGTTGGAGGTAGATGAATTAGATCTACCCACCCCTGAGGATGGTAAGGGGGTGCTGGAGTGGGGGAGGGGGAGACTTGATCTGTGCAGTGGAGGGTCTCAATATGCAATCATTCTTGATTACTTTGTCTTGGATAGATGGACAGACATGCATGATTCTAGGGTTTCTACAGAGTGGTTTTTTTGCATATTAGGGGAAAATATGTGCTAGGAATGTGATGTATCTAATTACAAGTTAATTAGTAAATTCTGCAGAGTAACTAAGAGTGTGTGTTTAGACTGCATTGATTTTTTTTCTCTTGCTATACTTCATCACTGAACCTTGCATGTTTTCATTGCTGACATTCCGTCAGACTGTGGTGTTCAGTATTCTTTTGGGTGAGTCATTCCATAATAAGCAGTTGTTATTAAGCTCTAATTTAGTACAAATCTAATATGTCAAATCTTAAGAAAGCAAGTCCAACTTTTGCAGATTTAACTTTTTTGTTTGTTTTCGTTAACCTACTATTTGTACCAGTAGAAGAATGCCAGACATTTATGTTATGTGCATTCCTGTAATTGAAACATGTACATCTAAGAAAAATCATAATGTTCAATTTTTTTCCCCTCATACAAGAAGTACATGTACCGTTCTTAAAATATTTAGCATTTTGAACATTTTGTATTAAAATTTCTCCATGAATTTTGCTAATTTTGAATGCCTTAAAGTTTGCATATCAAATTTTATTCTTTAATTTACCCTATTTTTAAAAAAACTAGAGGTACTGTGAGCAATCAGCTCACTAAATGATGCCCCCCGCCTTCCATAATGTCCATGTTTTGCTATATATTGTTTTACTGTAATGTGTAAAGAGGAATAACTTGTCCTATCAAATGTTATCCAGAAGCTTCTATATGTGATGTCATAGGTAAACATATAATGGCAATGTCCATGTTTTGCTATGGGAAACCTAAAATATGTGTCGAGTGAAAAAGTAAAATAGGAGGTGCACAATGGCAATATGTAATGAAGATTCTGTGAAAGTTTCATTAAATTTCACTCAGTAGTATAAGAAGTGTTGCGGATAAGAAAAAACGCGTAACAGACGAACAGACGGACGGACGGACAGACAGAAATCCCGATTACTATATACCCTCCCACTTTTCAAGCGGGAGGTATAATAAATAGTGGTTGAGTCTACATATGACTAGAAAAATCTTAAAATGTTATCTAGTAATTATGTGGAATGTTGTGTTGGTGGTGAAAATAAGTCTAATCATGGAAGACTTGGCTCGATGGATTCCAAACTAAAGATTTGCAAAGAAAAGATGTTGGAAATAATAATAAATTTATATATTTATATCTTAGATATAGATGATAATGTTTTAATACATATATTGTATACGTTTTCAGTTTCTTGAATAACGTGGAACATTTTTCTGTTTTGTTTAGGAAGAGACCCCCGTACGATTGAGCGATGTAACTTGTTAAACGTATCCAAACTTATCATAAAGGAGGTGATCGACTCCAGTCTGTCTCATGGTCGCATGCTGGATGACAACCACGTTCCACTTCAACAGTTCTTTATTGTACTAGAACATGTTCTGCGCCATGGACTTAAGCGTAAGTGGAGATGTATTTTTGTTGATTTGTGAGCCTAAGAGAATGTACATTAAAATTTACTCATAGCAAACTTGCTTATAATGAATTGTCTTTTATAATAAAATGCATATTAGGACTTTGAGCATACAGCAGATTTAAAAAAAAAATATTCTGTGAATTTTAATGGATATACACAGTAATGAATTGCCGTTATAGTAAAGCAAATTAAGTTGTCTTCTCCCCTGGCTCTTGGTCATAAGTGTGGTTTACTGTATAAGATTTTTATTCAGATATTGCTCCATTTTAGCAGACATCATCAATAACTTTTTTATTGCTCAATGAAATATTTAACAAAAAATGCATTTTTTTCAAAAATAGCCAAGAAAAGTTTACTACGAGATCGGCGAGATTTCTGGTGTGTCCTGGAAACGGTAGAGAAACTGGTTCCCGAAGCTTCCGAAATAACCACCAGTGTCAGAGAAATGCCAAACCTCAAGTAAGGGTATATGGCTACATCAGTTTAACCAATCAAGTTTCTCACTAACTGAAAGTTAAAGGAAGTAGATCATGATGCAGGCACTCATGCATCAAGGGGGGTAACTCTAATTTAAGTCGTAGTGAAAGAGAAAATTATTGGGTTAACACTTTCTTTGATAAATGACCAGTAAATAAAAGAAATATAATTATATAAATACATGATGTTCAATTCCTGTTGTAATGACATGTAAACTCTCCAATGTTTTATGGTATGGACTCTAATGTACTAGTATTTTAAATATTGACATGTATGTATCTTATTTCACTGCAGGACACCATTAGGCAAAGCCAGAGCATGGCTGAGACTCTCACTGATGCAGAAGAGTCTGGCAGACTATCTTAAAGTACTGTGTGAGAAAAAAGACCAAGTACTTGGGTATGATCTGGAAAAACAGGCATATACATAAACTGATGCATGTTAATTATGTTCTAATATTTACATTCAGTGTAATTTTCCTTATGAAATCCATTAGAAATCTACGACGTTCAAATTTCTATAACACACGTGAAACCTTGTCACCGTGCGTTAGAATACACAGTAGGAACTATTTGCATTTTCAATACTTTAGGAACACCAATATGTAAAAATGTTTTATTTAATTTAATGAAAAACTACAACCCTGAAAAATTAATATAAAAATTAACGTAATGTGCGTTAAGAATTAATTTGTCACTTTTTTCATCGCAATGTTTGTTTGTGTTATTTAACTTTGCAACGTCATTTAACGTCATTTGACGTCACAAACGGCTCTTACATCTATTAACCACGGCAATTTTGAAGGGCGCTAAATTCACATTTAAGATTAACGAAATAAGCAATTATGAAGAGGGAAAATTAGAGAATGTTACTATAAGCATTGAATTCAACACCTGGCCTTACTGACAAATTATCATACCGTGCTAACGCTCGGTATTCAATTTGTTGGCACGGTCAGGTGTGTTATAGGACCGAGGACATCCAAAAATATGAATTCAATGCTTAAATAAAACATCACTTACATGTATGTCCAAAAGTATCTTTCCCTTTCTTTGAATTTCAGATTATGAGATGTACATAGTATATCCCTTCCCCTCCTAATCATTCTTTTCTCAGCTGAAATATTTCAAGCAATTTTTTAATTTACATTCAAGTGTAATTAGTTAATATGTCAGTGTATATATAAATATATTTTTTGTATTTTCAGTGAATTTTACGAGCCTGGTGCTATGATGTTGGAGGATGAGGGGATGGTTTTTACGGGGTTACTTGTGGGACTTAATGTCATCGACTGTAACATGTGTATAAAGGAGGAGGACTTAGACCAACCTGTACGTTCATTCATTTAGTTATACATGTATAAAAAATTATCATTTGGATAAATTCTTTTTGTTCAAAGATTATGGCTTCTAGAATTTTTTCTTATACAATCTGATAAGCTGAAGGCTATTTCAGTAAAATTTTCTGAAAGGGGGTGGGGGTAATGTTTTAGAATACCTGTTATTTTCAGACTCCTTCGATTCAATTTTGAGAAAAAAAGACAACAAATATGTGAAATGTGCCTCACAAATCTCTCAGAAGAAAGTGACTCATGTCAGGAGGGAGGGGGGGGGGGGCACCTGTAAATCTGTATTTTCAAAAGAAAAAGTTTGAAAAGGAGTCAACTTGTATATAATGTACTTTAAAGTTATTGTAAACAAGACTTTGTCTCGGTATGTTAATGGATCTGGCCACAATGTTATATATAAGTAATGTTCTTTAGCTAGAAAGAGCACTAGGTGATTTATTATGACCCAGGCTTTGCTCCTTTTGTTGTTGTACTCAAAAGCATTTTTATAACATTCTTCATAAAATATTGTCATGATTGTTATTCATGTTTTAATTTCAGATGGGAGTCATAGATTTCAGTTTGTACTTAAACAACAGAATTAATGATGACCTATCACCTGAAAATGAAAGGTAAGCAACATCAGTCTTTATGGTACATGTATTGCTTTCTTTTTTTTGTAAATATAATGAAAAAAATTTCTGCAAATTGAACATCATCTATTATATAGAATCAGAGAAGTTTTGTATCATAATAGAATTTGTATTTCTCTCACCCACTGGTTAAACTTTTAAACCATGTTTCTAAGATCTGATGACCTTTGACAATTTTTGATTTACAGTCCAGAAACAAAGAACAAAATGGCTACCATACTAGATCAGAAAAATTATCTAGAGGAACTGAACAGACACCTGAAGTAAGGACATTATTTTTTTCTTGGTTCTATTTTGGATATATTAAGGTTTGACTGTATTTGTTTGTGTTGTTGTTAGAATAGGATTGGTTATAGTGCAATGTATCCTATTTCCTCTGTAAAACATGAAGATATATGTGTTAAATTTAAGTTAAAAACCTCGAAAAATGCACAACTCTACTTTTATTTAAAAAAAAAAAGATTAATAAGTAAGAATTTTAATTCTGTATTCTTTGCTTGTTATATTGACATTCAAAAACACAAATAAATACATTTAAGAAATCTTCATTCAGTAATTTTTTCTTCTCTTTTTTTCAGTGCAACAGTCACAAATCTACAACAAAAGCTAGAGAGTGTTCAAACTACCAATACCCTGTTAAAAGAAGATCTTGCCATTGCCAAAAACTCGGTTTTAGAATTACAGGCAGAAAACGACACTCTGAAAGCTGACCAGGGTTCCATTGTAGACGACACAAAGAGGCAACTGGAGGTGAGGATACTTTGAGATTTTTTTATTTCTGTATACAGGGAAATTTTTCCCCTGTTTAATTTTTGCCCCTTTTGCATTAGACACAAGTGGATGAATTTAAGATGGGGCGAATTTTGAATAAAAAGTATAATTTCTTAAACAAAACTTTGATTTGGCGAAATTAAAACAGGGCAAAATTATTTACATGTGTGAAAGAGCGAAAATAACACTACATTGTATGTACAGTAATTATGAGAAAAGGTTAAAGAAAATGCTAACACTGTTACTCACTGTTCTACATTCTCTAACTTGTAATTTCTACTGAAATACAGGTAAACTTCGTTATCTCGACGTCGGCGGAACAATCGGGAAATGTCGAGGTATCCGAGGTGTCGAGATATCAGAGTTAAGACTGGATGTCCTTTATAATTTTGGTACCTCTTAGTAAAACACATAAATGTTTTCAATACACTGTAGCTCGTTTGTTTCAGCTATTCCTCTATATTTAATAAAAATTCTGAGAAGTTATATACAAATTTAGTGAAATGAAATGCTTCCCTTTTAATGTAAATCTTCTAATTTTACTAATAAAAGTTTTCCAGCCAGCATTCCGCGTGCAACTTGCTTTGTCAGAACAGGATACGAAATGTGCTCTATAACTCCAAGCTGTAACTGTATAAAATCGACTCCCGTGATACGGGAAAAAAAATTATGCGTATTTTTCAAAATTATTTGACTTTACTCATTTTTATTTCATCATCATTCATCATTATTTTTCATTTCATTTTCAAATCAAAATTTAAAAGGATTTGCATATGAAAACAAACTCAATGATGATACATAACACATGCATGGATATTACGTATTCTCTTTAGAGAAGTGGACAGACTTTCACCTACATTCAGTAAACGGTCGTACATTTACGCAGAATCGAGCAGATTTATCAATGATATTACCCAAGCTGAAAAGGTTAACCAGGTGATCATTAAACAATTTACGTATTAGAGACGCCGATGGGGCTTGGGATTCCTCTACAAACACATTTCTACAGAGCAGTATGTAGTCAAAACATGGGTGTGAAAAGTGTGAATTTCTTACAACGTCGAGATACACAGAGTTGTCCGTGCGTGACAAGCGACCAGCTGACAAACAATTAGGTTAAGTAGAGCAGAAAATTGCCCTGATATCAACATATACCAGGTAAATTTGGCTCTTGGGACTGTGAATATACGTCGAGATAAGCGAGGTAGTCGACATTACCGAAGTCGACATATCAGAGTTTTTGCAAATCATTTATATAGTAAATAAAGCCGGTGTCATATAATATATTGAACCCCGCGATATTTTGAACCCGGGTTCAAAATATCGCTGCGAAATATTGAACCCCCCTATAAAATATTGAACCCGGGGTTCAAAATATTATGGCCATAAAATATTGAGTCCCCCTAGCTGTCCTTTTAATTTAAGAGGTAGGGGGTTCAAAATATTATGGCCATAAAATATTGAGTCCCCTGCCCTTTTAATTTTACAGGGAGGGGGTTCAAAATATTATGGCGGCCATAAAATATTGAGTCCCCCTGCCCATTTAATTTAAGAGGGAGGGGGTTCAAAATATTATGGCCATAAAATATTGAGTCCCCCTGTTCTTTTAATTCAAGAGGTAGGGGGTTCAAAATATTATGGCCATAAAATATCGAGTCCCCCTGCCCATTTAATTTTACAGGGAGGGGGTTCAAAATATTATGGCCATAAAATATCGAGTCCCCCTGCCCATTTTATTTTACAGGGAGGGGGTTCAAAATATTATGGCCATAAAATATTGAGTCCCCCTGCCCATTTAATTTTACAGGGAGGGGGTTCAAAATATTATGGCCATAAAATATCGAGTCCCCCTCCCCACTTAATTTTACAGGGAGGGGGTTCAAAATATTATGGCCATAAAATATTGAACCCCCCTGCCCTTTAAATTTAAGAGGGAGGGGGTTCAAAATATTATGGGCATAATATTTTGAACCCCCCACCATCTAAACTTAAAACAGACAGGGGGACTCAATATTTTATGGCCATAATATTTTGAACCCCCCTCCTCGAAATTTAAATTGGTAAGGGACTCAATATTTTATGGCCATAATATTTTGAACCCCCCTCCATCTAAAATTAAAACAGACATGGGGACTCAATATTTCATGGCCATAATATTTTGAACCCCCCTCCCTGTAAATTTAAATTGGTAGGGGACTCGATATTTTATGGCCATAATATTTTGAACCCCTCCCTCTTAAATCAAAAGGGAAGGGGGACTCAATATTTTATGGCCATAATATTTTGAACCCCCTCCCTGTAAAATTAAAAGGGCAGGGGAATCAATATTTTATGGCTATAATATTTTGAACCCCCTACCTCTTAAATTAAATGGACAGGGGGACTCAATATTTTATGGCCATAATATTTTGAACCCCCCTCCCTGTAAAATTAAATGGGCAGGGGGACTCAGTATATTATGGCCATAATATTTTGAACCCCCTACCTCTTAAATGAAAAAGGTAGGGGTTCAATATTTTATAAGGGGGTTCAATATATCGCAGCGAAAAAGTGAACCCGGGTTCAAAATATTATGCGATATTTCGAACCCGGGTTCAATATATCGCGGTATCAAAATATTATGCTACACCGGGGCCGTGGACAGATGTCGGCATATCCGATGTCGAGATACCGAAGTTTAC